TGCATGTGTAATTCCATTTCTCTGCCCTAATTCTTCTTTATATTGGAGGGATGGAGAACTAGTGCCAAATCTGCTTGGGAGCACTGGAAATGCCCTCCATCCTGGGGGGACACTCGGGCAGAGTGCAGGAACATCTTGGCCTGTTCTGGATGCATCAGAAACTCGGGGTTTGGATCGGGAAAAACCTCCCTGGGCTGGGTGAGGAGTGTGAGGCATAAAGACTGCTGTGTGTCCACTCGGTGTAGTTACGGTGGTTTTCATTGTGGAGGTTTTCCTCCTTGATTCAGATGGGAAAAGCACAGTGTGGTGATGTGGAGTGGTGGCTGGTGTTGCTCCTGTGCACAGAGGCCCCTTGTTCAGGAGTGCTGGGTTCACAAGGTGTGTGTCCGTGGAGCATCTTTTGGGTCTGCCGGCTCCACGTGGACGCCGTGCAGTTGGAGAAATACAAGGTGAGGCGTAAAGTTTCCCAGAAAACATCCTGGTTTGGTCACCTGCGCTTTTGGTGGCAGCACCATCCTCCAGGATCTTCTGGAACCACTGCTGGGCTTTGCAGGGTACTCAGCCTGTTCATCACAGTGTGAGCAGCCGTGGACTGTGCTGGGCCTGATCAGCTCCTGCTGCCCCGTGGAACAGAGGAGCTGAAAATCCCAAAGAGGAAAGTGGGAACTATGACTGGAGAGTACTGTGTGTTCCTGTGCTGGGCTAGATCACTTGCTTTAAATCCAGAGCCTTTCTGAGCACAATTAATAGTCATTTTATTTAGGTCACCCTGGTTTTGTTGCTTTAAATGTATGCCTCCATTAAAGTGGAAGAAAATCAAATACATTTATCTCCGTGGAGCCTTTTGTGAACTGGTTGGGCATATTTTAAATAACCCTGAGAACTGTTAGGATTATTAAAGCCTTTGGCTCCTCCAGGTTTTTTTTTCTATCCTCCTATTCTCCCCTATTCCTCCTTCCAGGCAGTGAGTAATGAAGTGGTAGAGCCCTTCCTTTTCTCAGAGCCCCAAGTGGATTGTGAAAAAAAAGAAGTTAAATAAACTGAAACCCATTAGTTGGGCTTTATGTAAGAAACTGGGTCTGCATTGGCTGTATGTATGGGCTGTGCTGGGACAGGGCAGTCTGTGGGGCTGAAGTGTCCATTTGTAACCGGTGTCTGCTGGAAAGGCTTTGTTTTCTTCTTCATTTAATTTACCACAAGTGCTAAGACTGTTCATTTTGTAACACACTCTCGCTTCACACCCAGAACTAGTCCAGATCAAGCAGCTCCTTTAAGCCCCCATATCCAACCATACTACATCTCAAAGAGATGGAGGTTTTGGGTTGGCAGCTGCTTTCTGAGTGTGCTGGGTGGAGGTGGCTCAGCCTCCCACACCTGTACTGGGGAATCCAGGGCGTTGCTGGGGGCTGGTTTTGCTGTGCAGGCGACAGTTCTGTCTTCCAGTCTTGCTTCTGTCCCTGGAAAAACCTTCCTTTTCTTCTGTAAGCAAGAAGTGAGCTGCGTGTTTTGAGCTGACACCCGGAAAACTTTTGCAGCTGAGCGTCTTTAAAATTCCGGGCGAGCAAGGGAGCGTCGGGTTGGAGGAGGGGGTTAACTCGGGCAGCCTCAGCTCCTGAATGCACTTGAGTTTCGGCTGTGGGTTGTTTTTCTTCCCTTCCCCTGAAACAGGGATCAATTTGCTTACTACAGGGTTTACTGCCGGTTACCTTGACTGTGTCCCTTATTTCTCCTTGATGAAAACTTGAACAAGCCGCTTGTGTTTGCTTCACAGAGAACCGTGAGAAACGGGCTGTGTGTGTGAGGCAGTGTGGTTTGCTCATTCTATTCAGCCCTTTGTATATTCAAATTCTTCTAGTTGGAGTTCTTGCTGTTCTGCCAGATTTCCATACCATTGATGGGTTTTCTGCATTAATAAGTTTCTTCCCCCTCCCTCCCATACCCTCGCCACCTTTTTGCGACTGGTGAAAAGTTTTTCTAAGCACGCTGCCCTCTCCATATTGATTTTCTTCTCCTGCTTGTCTAACCAGCTCTTAGATGTTTTATTTTGCAAAGCGTTAATAGAATTTTCCTTTTGCTGCTGCACTTTATCTATTCAGGAGGTTTCAAGAAGTCTCATTGTGTCACCGGACTATGGAGGAAAGAGGCTATTCTTCTGCTACAATGGCTGCCCTAAAAAATAACGCAGGGTGGGGTAAGCTCAGAAAGGGCAGAGACGGAGATAAAATGTTCTGACCTTAGGAAAGAGAAAAGATAACCAATTAGACATTGTTGAAAGGGCACCAGCTGGCTCAAAGAACACCCCACTGATTATTTTTTCTTCAAGGCATACACGGTCCACGTCTGAACTCGGCTGCAGAGCCGCTTCCCCCGTGCAGGTTTCATCTGTGGACTGACAGGGCTGACCCTTTCGCAGGGGGCTGCTGCCTGGTCCTGATCCCAGGAGTAGGTGCCGGTGCCGGAGGGGTGAAGCGCCTGCTGTGGGATTCCTGCGCTCCTCGGGGTCCCCGCCAGCAGGCTGGAAACCTCCCGGATTAGCCCATGCAGCCTGCGCTTGTTCCTGCTAATGGGCATTTATTTGCATAAAAAACATCTCTGCCAAGATCATCCTTCCAGCGAAGCAGGGGCCTTGGTACACACGGCACAGAGTGGTGTTTGCCCAGAGGACGAGTATCCGTGGGGGAGACGTGTTGTGTTCGACAGGTGGGAGAAGGGAATGGAACTGCAGCTCACAGTGTGACCAGGAGCTGCACCCAGAGCCCCTCACCCCTCAGTGCTCAGTCCTGGTGCCAGGGCCAGTCCCTGCTCTGCCCTGGCAGCCCTTGGAGGAGCAGGATGTGGCTGCACAAGAGGTTCAAGTCGTGCTGCTGCTGCTGAGCCCAAGAGGTCGGGAGACCTTGGGCTGAGACACAGCCGTGCTGGAGTGAGGGCAGATCACAGGGAGTGGTGCCTCATCTGACAAATCTGTTCCCCCAACACCAACACAGCAACCTTTTTGAAGTCCCCAGTAATGTCCTCACAGGAGGAGGTGTCATTTGGGCAGGACATCCCTTTCAGTGTGGGTCCAGCCTGAGGAACCTGCACACGGCAGCGGCGTCTTGGTTGGGGGATATGGGACCTCCCTTGGCTGCTGGGTCTCTGCTCCTGGTTATCCAACAGCTCTCTGGGCTCTGGGGTGGCATTTGAGGCAGAAAAATTACACGGGAAGAGTCCAGGTTAAGTCTTTTGCAGCAGTGATGGAGTGGGGACAGGGCTGGCCGGGTCCAGGCGCTGGGAGCTGCGATGCCCCGGGAAACAGCAGCAGGTGCAACGTGTAATTTTTGGTTCCAGTGAGGCCAAGACCTGTGAGAATGAAAAGTAAAGATTGCTGAGCAAATGTAACCGTGGAGCAGAGATAAGCAGCGGTGGCAGGGTGAAGGGCAGCACAGTCCTTATCTCCCTCCTGGGATTGCTCATCCTGGTGAGTTTTCCTCCTTGGAGGGCAGACAGACAGAGGGACGAGCGGCTCCGCGTTTAATGCGCTTTGGATTTTTCAGTGTGTCAGCGTCTTTAGGTTTCAGTCATGATGGGGATCTGGAGATCTGCTGTTCTGCACCCCCTCAGTCCATCACTAACACTTTTTGAAAGCCATTCTGACTGAAAAGTTAAGAACAAGTTAACCAGAGACAGGTTTTCAGATGAATTTTAGGCATCACGTAAGGTTTTGCTGTGCTGTATCTTTTCACTGTTTCCTGGAAAATACTTCTGTCCTGTAGTTAAGAGAAGTCCAGACTTTCTTTTTACCACCTTCCCAAACTCTCTCTGCCCAGACAAGGCTGAGATGTAGTTCTGCACAGTTGTAGGCTGAGTGTTTTGTCCACTGCCTAAGAGGACGGTGTGGGGGACAGGTGGACCCTTTGGTGGCACTGTGGGAGGTGAGGAGAGAGTGTAACTGCATTGTAATTCACTTAGCTAAAATAAATGATTTATAGAAAGCCAGAATGTAAACACAAGTAAGTACATAAAAATTACTGGTGAGGAAAAAAATCAACCCCAAACAAGCAAATTAAAAACTCCCAAACCCATCCCCCAGGCAAGTAGTAGAGTCTTATAAAGGATAAAATATTTTCCTTAAAGATCTTCTCCCTTCCTGCAACACCTTCTGCAGTTCAGTGGTTACAGGTTTTCATCAGCCTTGAGTTTACAGCAGGGAATTGCAGGTCTGTGATTTCTTCTCAGAGCTTGCCCAGGACATGTCTAGTTGTGTGTGGGACCCACCTGCCCCCACTGCTGTGGCCTCAGAGCAACAGCTCAAAGTGTGATAATGCTGGGAAATCAACCCCAGCACAACATCCTCCTGCAATAAGTGTAAAATTTTAGGTGTGGCTGCACAGATTAAATGGAGGTGGAATAAATCATGCAAATCCTAATGAAAGTTGAAAGCAATTTGGTTGCACTTCAATACGTTTCATCAGTCATCTCTCTTCTGAAGTGGAAATGCCGAGCCTGATGCGAATTAAACTTTCTCCCTCCTCCCTCTCCCCTCTTTCCTCCAGCTTTTCAAAAGCCCTTTTGAAAACCTCTGAATACCTTCCTTGGCTGACCAGCTTTTACCCTGCCCATACCTCTTTCTAAGCTCCTAACTCTTAGCCAAGACAGTGACTCTGTTCTGGAGAAGTCATGGGCTTGATTTGTATCCACAGTTCCTCTCTTGGCCCTTCCTTATGTCCCTGCAAAAGGGAAATGAGGCATGGCCAGGGTTTGGTTTGTGATGGAAGAACTGCCTAGATATTTGGCTTTTTAGGGGGAACACTTTTAGTGTTCTCTTTTCTGCTTTAGGATCAGGTGTCAAGCCAGGATGGGGGGTGAAAGCAACAGGTTTCCAAAAGGAGGAGCTGAGTGGCTCAAGTCAAGATCTGCTCCATCGAGGCTGCTCCTGCCCTGTCCCCCTCCCGGTGTGTGTGCCCTGTGTTCCAGCCATCAGCACTGTGTTAAAGCACAAATCTCCCCTCTTTGTCTTGCAGGTGGAGGATGCCATGCTAATGTTTGACAAGACGACCAACAGGCATAGAGGTAAGAAGAGAACTGGAGCTCAGACCTCACAGTGTGTGACAGCTTCTGCATGGGGAGCACAGCCAAAAATCAGTGTCAGCATGGTGATTTGGGGGCTAAATCCATGGTGCTAAATTCCTCTGTCCTGGAGGCTGCAGGGGAAGGGCTGTTGGCATGGAATGCCCCATGCACGTGGATTTTCTTGTTAGAAATGACTTTTCTGGTCAGTCTAATGACTTCTCTCTGGGAGGACCCTTGTCAGGCTCCCTGGGGAGAGTAAAGCCCATGGAGCTGGTTGTGCTGAGGCTGCTGGGAAGCAGCGGGTTTGTACTGAGATGGCTGGCCTTAGTTAAGCTGAGCATAAGGCCAGTTAAGCTGAAACACCAGGAAATTAAGGTGCTAACCCCCTCCACTGGGATCTCAGGCGTGCTGGAGGCCCTGAAGCTGAGTGAGGAGTGCTTGTCCTCCGGTGGTGTAGCTCAGAACAAGCAGGATCTCCAGGAATTTCCCTCCACATATTTCACGAGAGAGATGAGGTTTCATCATCGCTTGTACAGCTCTGTGAAAACGAGCTGAGGGTTATTTTCACTGTTATGGCCATTCCTTTCAGTGGAAATAAATGGCTCTGCTCTGTCTCTCGGGGAGCTGTCGGCGTTCCCAGCAGCCAGCGCTGGCAGCACTGCATCCCCCTGGGGGCAGGGAATGTGCCTGGGCTCTCACAGCGGCACCAGGAGCTGCTCTGGGGACAGGCTCCAAGACCCTGTTCCCCCCTGTCTGGTGGAGGTTGATTTTCTGCCGCTGCTCCCCCTCTTTGGTGTGCTGTGTTTGGCTCCTGCCCCCGGCGCTGATGGCAGTGCCAGCTCTGCCCTTGGCCCCTCATGCTCCAGCCTCTTTTGAGGGGCTCTGGGCTGATCTGGTGGCTGGCTGAGGCACGGATGTGTCGGCTGCTCCGAGTGGTCTGGGGAAGCTGCCAGAGGGTGGGAAGGGGCCTGTGCCTGGCCAGGGTGGGAGCCCTGGGAAGGGGAGATGGGGCAGCCCAGGGAGCTGCCTCACCTTCACACCGGCACAGGGTCAGCAGGCCTGACCTCCCGGTGCTGTCCGAGCTCCTCCCGGCGCTGTCCGAGCTCCTCAGTGCTCTGAGATTTGCTGTAACAGGAAACTCAGTGTGTGTGGATGGCTGAGTGAGTCAGGCAAGGCTCCAGGATAGCATTCCCTCCTTCCCAGGCACTGATCCCTCTCTGAAGAAAGGGACTGTAATACCCTGGAAAATGCAGCAACAGCAAGCAAAAGACTTGGGAAGATAAGCTCTTTCAAGCCAGGGAAGGTGTGTGAACAGCCAGTGCCCATCTGTGTGTAAAAGGGATCTGTTCAAAACTTTTATATAGTTTGGAAAGTTCAGCCCATGACAACTTCCTTTTATATCCAGGGAATTTTCCACCCATCTGTGCAAAACTACCCTTAAACAGGCCATAAATACCCTTCTCCATCAGGATCTTGGCACCTTGTTTATTGCATTGAAAAGCTGCCTGATGTGGAGTTTTGGTCTGGGGGGCTCTGGTCACAGCCAGGGACACACTCAGCAGGTTTGGCCTGAGACAGACAGACATAGTCTCCATTTGCTGAAATGTCCCAAATGCTGGATTTTGGTTCCCACTTGGCTGTGCCTGGTCCAGCCTGTCAGGCTCACTGGAATTCCCTTTAACCCCCTGACCAGGCTCCAGTGCTGGGGTGAGAGGAGACCCTGCAGGGACATTAAAGCAGAGCGGTGGGGTGTGAGTCCTTCCTGTGTTTCCTGCAAGCAGGATGTTTGTCTCTTCCCCCCTGCTCAAGGTGACCCCTGTGTGTCCCCCGGCAGTGGCTCTGCTGCCGTAAGCACTTCCCAGGCGGGAGGGCGTGGGGAGTGTTGGTGTCTGTGCTCTGCTGGTGCTGAGCTCTGCTCTGACAGCCCTGCTTCAGCATTTCTGTGCTCGGAGGGGAGGCTGGAGCAGCGTGCCAGGGACCCTGTGATCAGGTGTGAACCTGGGTAATGAGCCCCAGAGGATGGATTCCTCTTCCAAAAGCACCTTTTCTCTGACGTACCTGGAGGAAAGGTCAGTAACTGCTGAAGCTGAGGGCTGCAGGTGTGGGGGGCACCTTACTTGCCATGAAACCTTTTGGTTTTTCCACAAAGGGCTTTCTCCCCCCACTGTGTGTAGAAAATGAGAGGCACACATCATCTTTTTCCCCCCCCCCAGAAATTCTGTGAACTGATTTTGTTGGCTAATATTTTTTATAGGCTGTTTTTCCTACATGAAAGCCTTGACATTTTGATCCACGCTGGCATCTTAGTATAAGAGAGAGATGCATGAGAACTAAGAGAGGGGGGTGAACTAAGAGCCCCAAAGGACCAAAAGCAGGCTCCAAAATGTCGTTGGGTGGAGGTGATGTGACCCACACCCCCCTGTGCTCCACCAGACTGACTCCATACCTGAGTTTGTCCCACTTCCTTGGGCCCCCCTCCCCACTCCTGGCAAAGAAGGGAGTTCTCTGGCACCCAGGAATCTCAACTCTGTCTGGGGGGCTGTATCCCAGGGCTTACCCATTGCTGGTTGAAGGACAGTGCTGCTTATCTGCTGGGATTAGCCAGAATTCCTCTGAGTGGGTGAAGCCTGGACGGTGCCAAGGGGCAGAAGGGTCTGAGCTCAGAGTCTTTACCTCTGCCAAGTACAGGTGGAAGGAAGAATCAAGTGTAAAAGCCAGAGTAAGAGTCCTCTTGATCTTCACACTTGAATTTATCCAGTCTTTTCTGGTGTTTTTTCCTGCTCTGTACAGGTAGCTACGGCTAATCAGGCTAATGAACTGGCTCAGGGCTGTGGTGATGAAGCGAGTTCTGCCGCCTCGATCTTCGATAAAATCACCCCAGATTTTACAAATTGTGGCGTTCTGATTGTGTTGGAAGCACTTTTAAAATGCTGTACTGTGAACAACAGTGTTAATGGCAATTCTTAAAACCACTTGTGGGTTGCAATCTGTATCTTCAAATTAGCCACGGGAAGGAGAAATGGCAGATAAAATATCCGCGGTGGTTTGCTGCCGTTAGTCTGTGCCTGGAATAATCATCCCAGGCATGGGAAGGGAAAGGGATTGAAACTCACTGCTAGAAGGTGAGAGTGATTTCCTTGCAAGCAAATTGAGGAGGTTTGTTGACATAATTCTGGCACGTGTGTGTTGCTCCTGTTGTGTATTTGGGGAGTGTGTAACTTGCCTGCACACGCAGGACCAGCCTTGGTTGGTGGAAATGCAGGGATTTGAACCAGGCAGAGGAACAGGGATTTTCACAACTGCTCACCCTTGCTTGAAAACCCTACCCAAAATAAAATTCCATGCCTTGGATGGAGCACTTCAGCTCTAGGATGGACTTGATGGCCTTTTCCAACCTTGACGAGTCCATGATTCTGTAATCTTGAAAATGCCTTCAGGCTGGCCAGTGCTGTGCCTCTTTTTTAATGTCTGTTCCTGGATGTTCTCTAAGGAAAATAAGAGCTATTGTGTTTCATGCCAGTCTGTTCAGCCACATTAAAGGCAGGGTGCAAAATCTTGGAGTATTTAACTGAAGGGGTGGTTAATTTTCGGAGTACTGTAGGCAAAGCAGTGCTTAGAATCACTGGGATATCTCCTTCCAAGGGTTCTCCTGGCTTGGGCACTGAGCTGTGAGAGTGGGAATGCAAAGAACCAGCACTTGGAAGACAAGTATCCCTGGGTCAGTTTAGTAAAGATGCCATTTCTTCCTGGGAAGAAAGTGCTGATGATCCTCTCTTTCTGTACCCTGTACTGTACTTCTGCACTTCTCTGAAAACCACACACAAAAGTTCTCCCAGCATTCTGGCAGATCACTTTCATCACTTTCTTCACTGCCTAAAATTTCATAGAGCTGAAAATTACTGGTCAATCATGAAAGGATTCAGTAATTGGAAAGGGGGAAAAAAAAGGAGAGAGGGTGGTGTTATTTTGTTACCCTTGCAAAGTGCAGATAAAATCTGGAGTTCAGCATTAGTTATTGATCTTGGGGGTTGGAGGGAGCCTGGCAGGATGATGATGTCCTTCTCAGTTCATTCTGGAGGGGAGCTGGGAGCATATCAATGTGCCTGGAGCCGGGCGGGTGCCCTTGGGCCTGGCGAGCTGGCTGATCCCCACAGCACAACTGGGTGATTGTTTCCAGCAGAGCTGGAAAAATGACGGACACAGTGGGCTGCTTGAGGAGGAAGAGGGAGGAAAGGAGGATTAGATCAAAGTCTGTGATCTTGGGGGGTGAAGGAGTGGGCTCAGCCCTTCCAGGCTGTTTGTTCTGTGGAAAGGAGAATGGAGTGGTGTGGAGTGGAGTGTCCCCTGATAAATCTGTTCAGCATCTCTGCTTCTTCTCCTTTCTGCCACTGTTAAGCATAGAATGCTTGGGTTGGAAGGGACTTTAAAGGTAATCACGTTCCAAGCCCCTGTCATGGGCAGGGGCACCTTCCATAGACCAGATTGCTTGGAACTCCATCCAGCCTGACTTCTGAACACAGTAAGGGATGGGGCAGCCACAGCTTCTCCAGGCGACCTGTGCCAGGGCCTCACCCACAGGGGAGAATTTCTTCCCAATATCCCATCTAACACTGCCCTCTGGCAGTGGGAAGCCATTCCCCCTTGTCCAGAGTCCCTCTCCAGCTCTCTTGGAGCCCCTTTAGGCACCAGGAGGGGCTTTGTTCCACATCTCAGTGGGATGCTCTCGGTCCCAGCCCTGGCTGCTGCCCAACATCTGCTTGTTGGTGTGTGCCTGCAGCCATCAACCACTCCAGAAACTGTCCAGGACCTGCATCACCACAGCCCCATATCTTAGACTTGCAGAAAGCCCAAGATTTCGAGTGATTGAATCCCCCAAGCTGTAATTGCTGGTATTGAGTGTAATACTGTATGTTTTTCAAAGCTGTCCAGCCCCCAGAGTTATTTTCATATCAATTAACCCTCTTGCACGGCTCGGGATGGCAGCAGAGAGAGGAGGGAAG